GTCTCTCTCCTCGGGCCATATATCTGTGCTATGTGCTTTTGCAGAAACTCTATCAGTGTCTCAATTACTGCCATCTTATGAACTGGGAAAGTCTATTCTTAGGTCTCCAACCTGTGGTCAGGAAAACAAATAGAAAGACAGAATATAACCAGTAATTTGAGGTACTTCTCTCTTGGGCCACTGAAACAAACATGTGCAGACTACCATAAGCTTTTGCCATTGAGTCATCATTAATTTTTCTCAGGAGTTAGAAATTGTTTCATCATAGTTTCCTCTCAAGCTGAGTGTAAGCACATGTCCACTTCTGCCATGTGCTTCTACTGTAGGTTGCCATCGCATTCCTGAGGGCAGAAATTGTGCATGGGCATAGGTTCCTTCCTCCACTCCTTCAATAACATAAGCATACTCTACTACATACTGGTTTGTCTTCTCAAAGTCCATGAGTGCAAGCAAACAAAAAAGATGGAAGGCTCCACCACATAGAGGGACAATCCTACAATGAGAGGTCATCCCCCTGAGTCTGTCCATGAATCAGTTTGAATTCCCTGTACCCTGTCAGATCCCAATGGGCATATCATGGGAAGGTGCCCCTTAGATAGCACCAAACAAAAGTGTACCCTAACACTTCATTAGAGAGCTCATCAAATTGATCAGTGAATCAACTGAACACCTCCCCTTACATAGAATAGTGAACAAAAATATCAAATGGACTTAGAAGAGAATATAAGGTAAACAGATTTTTGGTGGGTTATTTTTCATGTATTTATTTGACTTTTCTTACAATATTGGGCTCTCTATATTAATGCCCTATGTATAATTTTATTCCTTTTTGCATATTTATTTTTATTTATTCTTATGGATGGTTATCAAGTTTATAATAAAGCTTTTTAAAAAGATAATAAATTTGGCCTTGGGATATATTGAGTTTGAGGTACCAGTGAGACATGCAGGTGGAAATTTTCATAATTTGTCAGAGATGTGGATCTAGAGCTCAGAAGAGAGGTCAGGGCTGGAGATAAACGTATCCTTAGTGCTAAGCACAAGGCCCTATTATTGAATTGAATTATTAAAGTTATAGGGAGTCAGAAAGCTCAATATAAAGATGAACTTCCTAACAATTAGCTCTTCCACAATGGAATGGGCTACCTTGTGATATAGTAAGCTTCCTATCACTAGAGGTATGCAAGAAGAGATAGGATGATCATTTCTTGGGTTGTAATAAACCATATTTTAGTTAGGGATTATACTATCCTTAACTAGACCTGTAATGTCCTTTCCAATTCTATAATTCTATGATTTCATGTACCTAGTGGCTAGATATCTGTGCCAAGTATATTCAACAAATGTTGAATGAATGAATAAATGAACAGTCTTTAGGTCCAAATAAATTCCTTTTAGATGGCTATTAGATGGCTCCACTGTCTAAGTAATTCATTGGCTCTGCTTCTCAAGTAGGATGCTTTACAGAAACTAGATAGATGAGCCTCTTCTTTGTCCAACAATCATGAGGCTTTGGGAAATACTCTTCTCTCTCTATTTTGAGTCATGCTAATAACTAGATAAAGAGAGGTCATCAGTTAGTATGGGAAGCTATGGGGAAGGCAGCATGATAAAGTGGGAAAGACTTAACCTGCCTGCTATCAAATGAGCACGTAGTTCCAGCATTTGCTGACTGGGTGTGATGTTGGACAAGCTTCTTCTCTTCATTGACCTCAGTTTCTTCCTTTTTAAAACACTGTTTTGTATTGGTTCTCCTCCTGTCTGCCTGTGCCTCCTTAGTCTCTTTCACAATATCCCCATCTATCCATCACCCAATATATATGGTGGTCCCCCAAACTCCATACTTAACACCTTTTTGTCTCTCTGTTCTCTTTCACCAGCTCCCAAGGTTTAATCACCATGTCCTAAAATTATATATCCAGTCCTAATCTCTCTCTGATCTAAGGTTCTTAACCTGAGGCCTATGAACTTGTGTGTAACAGTGTTTGTAATATTTTGATAATTGTATTTCAATATAATTGGTTTCTTTTGTAACCCCATATATTTTATTTTATGTGTTTAAAGATGTTATTCTGAGAAGGGGTCCACAGGTTTCACCAGACTACCAGAGGAACCCATAACACAATAAAAGGTTAAAACCTCCTGTTGTAATCCAGGAAAATGAGCTTTTATTAAGTGCCTACTTAATACATGTGCAAGGCACTGCTCTAGGGTACTGGGCATACAAATATAAAACAAAAAACAATCCCTGGGGAAGCTTATATGGCGGCAGGGGTGGTGAGAATATAATATGTAAGCAAATAAGCATGTAAATGATTATTTGAGGAGGGAGAAAGAACAAAGGACTAGGGCAGGGGTGGAGAACCTGCAACCTAGAAGCTACGTGTGGCCTTCCAGGTCCTTGGGTGCAGCCTTTTGACTGAGTTCAAGTTGTATAGAACAAATCCTTTTATGAAGGGGGGATTTGTTCTGTGAAGTTTGGATTCAGTCAAAGGGTTGCATTTGGGGACCTAGAGGGCCACGTGTGGCTAGAGGCTGCAGGTTCCCCAACACTGGCCCAGAAGAATCAGGCCCTGAGCCTTGAAAAGAAGCCAAGGATTCTAAGAGGTAGATGTTGAAGATGAAGTGCATACCAAATGTATTCCAAAAATAGAGTCCAGATACGGCTTCTGAGTTTAGAGCAGGCCAGTTTGGCTGAATTGTGAAGTCCACAAAGAAATAAGCCTGGAAAGGCGAGCCAAAGTCAGATTGGGAAGGTCTTTATGTGCCATACTAACTAACTGCCATTTATCTTAGAGTTCTTAAACTCTGTTTATTTAAGAAAAAAGACCCCTTTGGCAGTCAGTCTGGTGAAGAGCTATGGACCCCTTCACAGAACAATGCTTTAAAATGCATAAAATAAAATATGTAGGATGAAAAGAAAACCAATTATAATTGACACACAGTTATAAGGTATTGAAAAAGCAAATTCCACAAACTCTCTGAAAACTTTCCATGTGGGGCAGCTAGGTGGTGCGGTGGATGGAGCACTGGCCTGGGAGTCAGGATGGACCTGAGTTCAAATCTGGCCTCAGACACTTAACACTTACTAACTGCTTGACCCTGGGCAAGTCATTTAACCCCACTGCCTAGCCAAAAACAAAACAAAAACAAAAAACTATCCACAAACCTCTTTTTCTGGGGGGAGAGGGCAGTGTCCATGAATCCCATGTTAAGAACCCTTCTCCTAAAAGTGCTGAAGATTCTTCAATAAAAGAGCAACATGATCTGACTTTTGGTTTAAAAAGATTATTTTGGCAGCTGTGTTGAGGATGAATTGGAATGGGGAGTAGGGAAGACCACAAGCTAGGAGCCCAATTAGAAAGCTCTGGCAATTGGTGCAAGAAAGTGAAAAGTTATGAAAGCCCAAATTCTCTGTGAGAGGAGAGCAGAAATGTGAGAGATAAGGAAGTAGAATCAATAAATCTTCATGATTCATTATATGGAGGGAGGAGGGTGAAGGAGAGGTGGTCAAGGATTATGTGGAGGATTTGAACCTGGGTGACTGAAAAGATAGTGATACTCTAAATAAAAATAGGGCAGTGAGGTGCACATTGAATAGTCAGAAAGATTCAACTTCCTGAGTTCAAATCTGGCCTCAATATGTGACCTTGGGCAAGTCACTTAACCATGTTTGCCTCAGTTTCCTCATCTGTAAAATAAGCTGGAGAAGGAAATGGCAAACCAATCCAGTATCTTTGCCAAGAAAACCCTAAATGGGGTCATGAAGAGTCAGACATGACTGAAAAAGACTGAACAATAACAAAAAAACAGAAATAGGGAAATTTGGAGGAGAGGATGGGCGTAGGGGACAACTACAGTCCTGCAGCACTGTCTGCTACTGAAAATCTCCACCTGGATATCCCATCCACATCATAGGTAGAACTCATTATATTCCTCCCCTCCCCACCTGAATCCTTCCCTCCCTCAGACTTCCCTAGATCAGTTGAAGACCCCACTCTCTTTCCAGTTCCCTAAGTTTGTCTTTCAAAGTTCCCCTCTATTCTTCTCTTTTCCTTGTCCCCCACATTCAGTTACCAATTCTCCTTCCACGACATTCCTCACATTGGCACCTGTCTCTCCACCCATGCTGACTCTGCCTAGCACAGGTCCTCATCACTTATTGCATTGATCATTGCAATAGCTTACTTAAAACTGGTCTCCATGAGTCTACTCTCTCTCCTCTCCAATCCATTCTCTAAGGGCTACCAGATTACTGAGACAGGGGTCTGACCATATCATTCCTCTCCTCAGAAACTCAGTGCTCTCCTACTGTGTCTAAGATAAAAGATAAACTCCTCCATCTGACATTTTAAGGCCCCTCCGCAAGCTGGTTCCATATTTATTTCATACTACTTCCCTCCACATATTCTGTGTCACAGCCAGACTGACCTGCTAATTGTTCCCCAAACTAGCACATGTCATTTTCTACCGCCATATCTTTGCATAGACTGCCCCCCCAGCCTGGAATGCACTCCCTCCCCTTAAAATTCCTAGCTTCTTTGAAAGTTCAGCTGAGTTCATACTTCCTATGGGAAGCCTTTCCTGATCCACTCCATTGCTAGAACTCTCTCCCTCCTGAAATTAGTTTGTATTTATTTATCTGTATGTAAATTCTACCTCTCCACGAGAAGGTAAGCTCCTTGAGGGCAGGAAATATTTCATTTTTGTCTCTGTGGCCTCCCCAGTGAGTGCTTGTTGAATTAGATTGAACTGGCTGGATTAAACGAGCTTTCAGTTTTAACATTCTGTGTTCTGTGTTTTAAGATCTGGAAGGATTTGGGATCTTTTTTTTTTTTTTTGCACAACTCCAAATGACGGTGCTGTACACTGCTGTGGGCTGAATGACATTGCCTGTGCACATTTGGCATTTTGGAAAGGCCTTCAGTGTTGCGCTTGGATTAAAGAACTCTCTTGTTTGAGCGGTAATGAAAAGAGCTGACTGTTGTTTGGTTTTCCAGCTGAAGCACCACAGTGTAAAGAGACCTACAGATTTGTGCGCTGTGAATATCAGTGGCCAGAAGATTGCAAAAGTAAGTAGAAACTGTTTCTTACAGTCTCTGCCTAGGCTATTCTCTGATCCCAAGAGAAACATGCTGCCGTTTATCACCGTTGGCAACTTCACTTGGCAGGACCTGATTGTGGTGCCACCGAGTGGATGGTGGGCTAAGATTTGGGAGGCCTGAGGTCCTGGGCCTGGGCCTCCTGCTTGCTGCCTGGGCATACAAGATACCCTCTCTGGTCTTCAGTTTCTTCTTCTGCAAAATGTTGTTGTTGTTCAGTCATTTTTCAGTTGTGTCCAACTCTTTGTGACCCCATCTGGGATTTTCTTGGCAAAGATTCTGGAGTGGTTTGCCATTTCTTTCTCCAGCTCATTTTACACATGAGGAAACTGAGGTAAAAGAAGGTGAAGTGACTTACCCAGGGTCATACAGCTAGTAATTGAACTCATGAAGATGAATCTCCCTGACTCCAGGCCTGGCACTCTAGCTGCCCCTTCTTTATTTTTTTTTTGTTTGTTTGTTTTTTGCTTGTTTGCTAGGCAATGGGGGTTAAGTGACTTGCTCAGGGTCACACAGCTAGTAAGTGTCAAGTGTCTGAGGCCAGATTTGAACTCAGGTCCTCCTGACTCCAGGGTTGGTGCTCTATCTACTGTGCCACCTAGCTGCCCTCCTGCTGCCCCTTCTTTAAAATGAGGATAATGATTGCCTTCTCCCTGGGCTACCCTACTGTGAGGATCTAGTGAGACAACATGAAGACATTTGAATTTTAGAGTTAGAAGAAGCCATCTAGCCTGAGCTCATAATCCAAAGGAATCTTAATAACAGTAATAATGATAATAATTGTAACAATAGCAACAACAGGAATAATAGTAGCAGTTTTAGTAGTAGCAATGTCACTAAAATTCCTGGTCTCTTCATGAAGACATCCACAGAGGAGGGCACCCTCTGCCTCCTGAGGCAGCCCATCCTACGTTCAGCTCTGATTGTTAAGAAGTTTTTCCCGACTCCAAGCCTATATCTGCCTTTTTGCAACTTTCTGCCCCCTGCTCCTGCTTCTGCCCTCTGGGGCCCAACAGAACAAGCGTGATCCCGCTTCCACACGACGGACCTTCAGATACTTACAGACAGCTCTCATGTTCCCCCCAGTCTTCTCTTCCCTTGACTAAGGAGCCTCAGCTTCAGATGGTCCTCATGCAACATGGACTCAAGACCCTTCACCATCCATCCTGGTAGCTCTCTCCAGAGGTTCTTGACTTTATCAGTGTCTTTAAACTGGGGTGCCCAGAACTGAACCAACCTTCCAGATGAGCTCTGTCCAGGGTAAACCACAATTAGGCCTTCATTACCTCCCGTCATGGAGCCCCAGATGGTGGGAGCTTTCTGGGCTGCCTGTACCACCGTACTGCTGGCTCACATTGAGTCTGCAGAGCACTAAAACCCCCCTTTACAAAGTGCTCACCATCCTGCCCCCACCTTGTACTTAGGAAATTGATCCTTATTCAGTTCAGCCTAGTGCTCTTGCCTGTCCAGACCTTTTGGATGCTAGCTCTGTCATGAACTGTGCTAACTGCCCCTCCCAGCTTAGTGTCATCTCCACATCTGATAAAGCATTCTGTCCCTGCCTCACTCCAAGTCATTGACAAAATATTAAAAGGCCTAGGACCAAGCACGAATCCCCGGAGCTGTGTAGCACATTGTAAACTGTACATTATAAATCGCAAATTACAAAACTTTATAAACTACAAAGGGATTTGTGGGCTTTAAAACACTTTGTAAATGATAATGCCCTTTGAAAAATATAAAACCTTCTACACAAGTAAAGGTTTATTTTTGCTTTGATGTAGCATAGGGAAGGCCCTGATTCCTGAATGATCAGACTAGTAGAGGACCAACTTTGACAGGTCTTGTGAGCTGGAAAATCTTTAAGCATGGCTCTCCCCACACTCCCTCCTGTTGGCCTTAGGGCCCAACTAATCCTCCTCCCCCAGAAAAAGTAAATAAGAAAAAATAAGGCTGAGGGACAGCCTATATATAGGTGTCTGGTATATTAGCACCAGACCAGCTCTGGGTAGAGAAACTCACCACCAAAGTACTGACCTCCTGGGCACAGCTTTGTATGGGCCCAGCAACTCTTAAAATGATCCTTAAGCTGTGCGGGAGCTGTGGTCTGTAATAGTGCAGGGTTTTCACACAAAAACTCATGGGTCACTGAAGTCCTCAAACATGTTTTCATGTAGTTGTGAAGTCCTAGATTTGGGGTCAGAAGTTCTGGGTCCACATCCTGGTTCTAAACCTAGTTTTAGGACATTGGTCAAACTCACTTCTCCTCTCTGAATGTCAGTTTTTCTCATTTGAAATAGTAGTACTTGTACAACCTATCCCAAAGGTTTTTTTTGTTTAAATTAAGGTTTTATTGATATCTTTTTCAATTAACAAACATTTATTTTCTCTCCCTGTTGCTCCTGCTCACACACACACACACACACACACACACACACACACACACACACACACACACACATTTTTTTCCACTGAGAAGGAAAAAGAGAAAAACAAAACACTGATAACAAATATTTAGTCAAGCAAAACATACTCCTTCACTGACCATGTTGAAAAGATGTATGTCTCACTCTTCACCTAGAATTTATTGCTTCTCTGTGAGGAGGTGGGTAGCATGCTTCATCATCGGTTCTTTGAAATCATGGCTGGTCATTGGGTTTATCAGAGTTCTCAAGTCTCAAAATTTTTTCATCTTTAAAATGTTGTTTTTATTTTATAAATCATTCTCCTGGTACTAATCATTTCATTCTATATCATTTCATACAAGTCTTCCCAAATTTTTCTGAAGCCATCCCTTTTCATAAATTTATTTTTTTGTTCTATTCATGTACCATAGTTTTTTTTTCAGCCATCCCCCAATTGCTGAGCATCTCCTTTGTTTCCAGTTCTTTGCCACCACAAAAAGAGCTGCTATAAATATTTTTGCACATGTGGCTCCATTTCCTCTTTGATTTCTCTGTGGTATAGATCTAACAGTGGTACTGAGTCAAAGGATATGCATGATTTAGTAACCTTTGGGGCATAGGTCCAAATTGCTTTCCAAAATAGCTGTGCTAATTCACAGCCCGAATAGCACTAATAGGGCATTAATATGCCTCTTTCCCCTCAGCCCCTCCAACATTTGTCACCATCCCTTTATTGTCAGCTTTGTCAGTCTGATGGGTCTTTGATTGGAACACAGACCTGCTTTAATTTGTACTTCTCTCATTATCAATGATTTGAAGCATTTTCCCCCACATTGTTGTTGATAGCTTCAAGTTCTTCTTTCACAAGGTTGTGACGAAAGTGCTTTCTAAACCTTTAAGGGCTAGGTAAATGAGAATAATCATCATCATTATTATTATTACAAGCACAGAGACTTCCTTTATAAGTAATAATGTTAAAAAAAACAGACAAGCATGTGGGTACAGGAACATCCCACTTAGTGCCATAAATTGTTGCCACCAAAACGCTTGAGGCAAAATATTCCATGATTCTGTTAGACTATAAAATGTCTCAAGACCCATCTTAATGTTGCAACAACAGGATGTCAATCACCTGCATATAATACTGCTCTTACCAAACTGACATTCTAATACTAGAAAGGACCTTAGAGATTCAATTCACTTAAATAATTTAATAAACATTTATCAAATTCCTACTATGGGCCTGTTAATGGGCTCAGTGCTGGAAACCATCTAGTCCAGTGACCTGATTTTACAGAGAAACTGAGGCCCAGAGAGGTCATGTGAGATACCTTAGGTCATTTGTTGTTGTTGTTGAGTAGTTTTTAGTCATGTCCAACTCTTTGTGACCCCATTTGGGGTTTCCTTGGCAAAGATACTGGAGTGATTTCCCATTTCCTTCTCCAGCTCATTTTATAGATGAGGAAACTGAGGCAAAAAGGGTTAAGTGACTTACCCGGGGTCACACAGCTAGGAAGTGTCTGAGGACAGATTTGAACTCAGGAAGAAGACAGAACTCATTGGAAAAGACCCTGATGTTAGGAAAGATTGAAGGCAAAAGGAAAAGGGGATGGCAGAGGATGAGATAGATAGATATGTCGTGGAAACAATGAACGTGAACGTGGACAGTCTTCAAGAGATAGTGGAGGACAGAAGAGGTTGGCGCTGTGGTCCATGGGGTCCCAAAGAGGCAGAGATGACTGAATGATTGAGCAGCAACAACAAGAACACAGATAAATCTTTCTGATTCCAGGCCCAGCATTCTGTCCACTGGGCTGCCCAGCTGCCCTGCATTGACTATCTCCATCCCCAAGGCTGCCCAGCGCTCCACTCCACCTGCCTCCCTGCCTCCCTTCTTGCCTCTGGGCCCTAATGATTCATTTATATGTGAGTATTTGAGGTGGCATGGTGGAAGGAGCTTAGAATCAGGAAGACTCTTCTTCACAAACTCAAATCCATCTTCGGACACTTACTAGCTGTGTGACCCTGGGCAAGTCACTTCACCCTGTTTGCCTCAGTTTCCTCATGTGTAAAATGAGCTGGAGAAGGAAATGGCAGACCACTCCAGTATCTCTGCCAAGAAAACCCCAAACGGCTCACAAAGAGTCGGATACAACTGATACAACTGAAACAACTCAACAAATTGTTTGTTGATGCACTGACAACACACTACTTGAAAAAAAGCCCAGATGAAGAGAATCTCTTGAAATCCCAGAGTGCTCGGGGGCAGCTAGGTGGCACAGTGGAGAGCACCGGCCCTGAATTCAGGAGGACCTGAGTTCAAATCTGGCCTCAGACCAAACACTTGACCTGTACTAGCTGTGTGACCCTGGGCAAGTCACTTAACCCCAACTGCCTAAAAAAAAAAAAGAAAGAAATCCCAGAGTGCTTTATAATCTCCTTTATCTATTTTGATCCTTACAACTACTCAGTACAGTAAGGGAGTGCAAGATTTATTATCCCCATTTTACAGATTGAGAAGTTGAGGCTTAGAGAGGAGAAGATTGATTAGTGTCAGATCCAGGACTCCTATTCCTCTATTCTTTACACTATACAATATTACTTGCTGTGGAACAAATATATATGTAGATATATGTATAGTATAAGACTAATGCCTATTAATATTATCTATATATATGAAATGCCATATAATATATATGTATGTGTATATGTGTATGCATATAGCATTAGTCCTACATTCTACATTTTAGGTATAAGCCTTTTCTTAATTTGTTTAGTTATTCTTAATCCAAGCATTTCTAGCTTAAGAGAGAAATGTCTAAACTGACAGAGTTCTCATACCATCAGTTGCAAGATCTTTTGAAGTAATAGGTATCCTGGAGAAGGAAAATTTCACAACAGTTGCTGTTTAGCATTGACATTTTACTTCGCATAGTACACCAATAGTCACTTAATCTTTCATACAATTCTCTTTCCAAAATCACTCATTCACACTAATGCATTGTTGGGGGAGTTGTGAACTGATCCAGCCATTCTGGAGAGCAATTTGGAACTATGCCCAAAGGGCTATAAAATTGTGCATAACCTTTCATCCAGCAATGTCACTTCTAGGTCTGTATCCCAAAGAGATCATAAAAATGGGAAAAGGACCCATATGTACAAAAATATTTATAGCAGCTCTTTTTGTGGTAGGCAAGAATTGGAAATTGAAGGGGCAGCTAGGTGGCGCAGTGGATAGAGCACTGGCCCTGAAGTCAGGAGGACTTGAGTTCAAATGTGGCCTCAGAACAGTCACTTGACACTTACTAGCTGTGTGACCCTGGGCAAGTCGCTAAACCCCAATTTCCTCACCAAAAAAAAAAGAAAGAACTGGAAATTGAGGGGATGCCCATCAACTGGGGAATGGCTGAACAAGTTGTGGTATATGAATGTAACGGAATACTATTGTGCTATAAGAAATGATGAACAGATGGACTTCAGAAAAACCTAGAAAGAATTATATGAACTGATGCTGAGTGAAATGAGCAGAACCAGGAGAACATTGTACACAGTGGCAGCCATACTGTGCGATGACTGACTTTGGTAGACTTAGCTCTTCTCAGCACTGCAAGAATCTAAGACAACTCCAAAAGACTCATGACGGAAAATGCTGTCCACTTTCAGAGAAAGAACTGTGGAGTCTGAATGCAGATGGAAGCAGACTATTTGCTCTCCTTTTCTTTGGTGGTTTTGTTTTGTTTCTTCATTCTTGTGGTTCATCCCATTAGTTCTAATTCTTCTTTACATCATAACTACTGGGAAAATACGCTTAACGTAAATGTATAAGTAGAGCCTATATCAGATTGCACGTCATCTTGGGGAAGGAGGAGGAGATGGAGGGGGAGAAAATTTAAAACTTAAAATCTTATGGAAGTGAATGTCGAAAAATAAAAATAAATAAATGAATAATTTTTAAAATTGCACATTCCCTCCTTGCTCCCTCTCCTGAAGGGCCTTCCTCCCACTCCTACCCCCAAGGTGACCTAACTTAATCAAGGGATCTCCCCTTTCTGATACCGTAATCTTTTCAGGACAGGGAAAAGGGGAGACTGCCCTTGAGTGGGCCATGTCTTCAGATACATCGGAAAAGGGTGCCTTATCCTGGTCTTTGTTGGGTTGGTGCACGATTAACGACTTCAAGAGAAAACTTGGAGAAAGGGGAACAAAGATGTTGTTTAGGAATTGATGGTTGAAGAAAATCTGAAAAGAATTTCTCTTCCAAATTGGTCCACAGGCTTCAAACTGGGCTAATTGTTAAGTGTTTTCAATATTTCTAACGGTGGGAATAGGAGACTTTGTCCACTTCTACTGTGCTCTGGAACAAGAGGTCCTACTCTTTTTCCGTCCCTGTGACCTTTGTAGGAAAGGAAATACATTCTAGAATTTGTCATGCATGTGCACAATAAGAAATAAAATATAGCAATTCATTAAGTTCAATAGGCTAATATAATTATTTACTCAACAATTCCCTTTACCCCCTTGATAAGCTTCTCATTTTCCCTAGGGGTAAGTATACCTCAAGTTGGTAACACTTGCTCTGGAACAATGGCATGTGTTCGAACAGATCGTATCATGCTGAATTGCATTTGAAACAGGGAGGGGCAAGGACATACCAAATGTTAGACATTGGACAACTGGTACAATAGCCCCTCATATTTGTTTAGCACATTATAGAGCTCTCTCAGATATCTCTTTTGATCCTCAAATAGTCCTGCCCAGTAGATAAGTACAGAAGGAATTATTATGGTCCTTTTGTATAGATGAAGAGATTGAAACTTAGGCTTCACTGATGATTTGTCAGAGACATTATTAAAAACACCCTGCGAGGTAGGTAGTGAAAGTATTATTCCCAATTTCAGATAAGGAGATAGAGACTCAGAAAAGGACAGCAAATCATATTAATCAAATTTCTATAATCCTTTAAGAATTAAAAAATAATTTCCTCACAATAATTCAGTGAAATCAGTCATATAAAGCTTGGCTGTCCCATTTTACAGATAAAGAAACTGAGACTCAGGGAAATTTAAAGGATTTGCTTAAGAGGCAGAACAGAGAAAAGAGGCCAGATCTTTAAGCTCTGGAGATGAAAGGAACTTTACAGATTATTTAGTCCAATCCCTACATTTTGATAGTTGAATAAACTGAAGCCCAGAGATTCTTGTCAAAAAGAATCTATTAAATGCCTACTGTGTGCCAGGCACTGTGCTAAGCTCTGGGGCATACAAGGAAAGGCAAAAAACATGATCCCTACTCTTGGGGAGTTCACAGTCTAGTGGAACAACATGCAAACAACTATGTAACTAAATAGAAGTAAATGTAAGGTGATTTCAAAAGCTCTAGCACTTGAGTAGGAGGAGGGGAAGACCTGGGTGGATGGGGAACCAGGAAAAGTCTCCAGAAGGTGGGATTTAAGCTTAGTCTTAAAGGAAGCCAGGGAAGCAGAGATGAGGAGGGAGAACATTCCAGGTATGGGAATGGCCAGTACAAAGACACAAGTCAGGAGATAAGAGTGTTGTAGGCAAGGAACACGGAAGTCCCACCTTCTGCATTTCCCAGTCTCCCTTAATGCCAGTGCCTTTCCTCAGCTGATTTTCTCCACTTTATTTAATTTGCACATAGTTGTTTATATGTTGTCTCCCCTGTTAGACTGTGAGCTCCTTGAGGGCAGGGACTGTCTTTTGCCACTCTTTGCATCCCCATCATTTAGCACAGTGCCTGGCATATAGTGGGAACTTAATAAATGCTTGTTGACTTGTCTGAGGAACAGCACGCAGAGCGTCTCTGAATAGAAGAGTATTGTGGAGAGGAAGGGGGTGTTAGAAGTAAGAAGATTGGAAAAGTAGGAAACGCCATGTTGTGAATGATTTTAAAAGCCAAATAGAGGGTTTTTGCTTGATATTGGAGTTAATAGGAAGTGAGTGGGATTTATTAAGTGGAGAGGTAACATGATCAAACCTACACGTTAGGAAAATCACTTTGACAGTTAATTGAAGGATGCATTGGAGTAAGGAGAGACTGAGGCAGGAGCAACCAACTAGAAGACAGTACCATAATCATTCAGGCACTAAATGATGAGGGCCCGTCCCAAAATGGTGCCCATATGAGCAGAGAAAATGGGATGATAGACAAGAGATATTGTGAAGGTAGAAATAACAAGACTCAGTGATAGATTGTGTATGTGAGGAAGATGGTAGTGTCCTCAACAGTAATAGGGAAGCTGGGAAGAGGGGGGTTTTGGAAAGATAATAGGCTCTGCTTTGGGTGTGTTGAGCTTGAGATATCTGTAAGACATCCGATTCAAGAAGTTTAAAAGGAACTTGATGGTGTGAGACTGAAACTCAGGAGAGAAACTAGGGATGGCTATATAAATCTGGGAATTATCTGAATAAATGCATGACAACTGAACCCATGGGAGCTGATGACACCAGCAAACAAGGTAGTATAGAGGGAGAAGAGAAGGCCCAGGGCGTAGCCTTGGGGGATACCGATGGTTAAGGGGGATCACCTGGATGGGGATCACCTGCAGCAAAGGAGACTAAGAAGACTTGTCAGAGAGATGGGAGAAACACCAGGAGTGAGCAATGTCATGAAACCTAGTGAGGACAAAACATCCAGGAGAAGAAAAAGACTGACAGTATCAGAGGCTTCAGAGCAGTCAAGAAGGATAACAACCAATAGATTAGATCATTGGCAACTTTGGGAAGAGCAGTTTCAGTTGAATGGTGAGATGCAGAGAATGTGGAAGAGTGAGAAGAGAGGGAATCGAGGTATTGAATAAAGTTGGATTTCCCAAGGAATGTAATAGAGAAAGGGAGCAGAGAGACCTAGGATGATAACCTGTGAGCATCATCCTATCAAGTGTGGGGGGTGGGGTTAAAGGTGGGGAAGACATGAACATATTGGTAGGCAGCAGAGAAGGGGCTAGTAGCTAAGGAGAGACTGAAGATTAGAGAGAAGGTGGTAACAATCTGCCAAAGAAGGTGAAATGGAATGAGGTGGGACTGAGGGTACATGTAGAGGGGTTTGCCTGGCCAAGGAGAAGGGGCCAGTTGCCCAGGATCACACAGGTAATAAATGGCAGAGCCAAAATTTAAACCCAGCAGTCCGGCATTCTTTCTGTTACATGCTGCCCCTCTAGAATTTCACCCAGTATGATCCCCACTCTGGGTTCAGGCTTTCCCTATTATAATGAGTGCAATGACCTCTGCAGAATTATGTACACAAGGAACCTGATGTGACTAGGAGAGTAATTAGATTTGTGGTAGAGGAAACTACTTTATTACAGAGTTCTATTATCCTTAATAAGACATAGCTTTCCATGGAACATTGCCCTTAAAGCCCACCAAGTTTTCCTGAAATGGAAATAATACTGTGCTTTGCTTTGTTTTGTCTTGTCACCCCACCCCTTCAGGCTAAGGAAAAGGACTTCAGGCACTTTGACGCTGTTGTTTTTATAAATGCATCGGAAAACTTGTTACCTCTAGGTAAGCTGTCCTCTGATGGAAATGCCACTGTCCCACACTAGCTCTCAACTGTTCTGATTTCACTATTGCTTACTGATGGCCTTTGCTCACTCCGCTCTCTAAACCGGTAGAGCCTGCCCGCCTCCACCCCCACCAACACTGTTGCCTACTGACACCTTACCCTTCCTTCAAAGCCTCCCTCAGGTGTCAGCTTCTCTGTGAAGCCGTCCCTTATTGTCCCAGTCAGTAATGACCTCGACCACATGGCAAAGACCTTTGTTTGCATCTCCCTAACCTGTTTACCGTGAGCTATTGTATTATAGAGTTATAGGTATATGTGTCCCTGCACTGAAATCCTCCTCAGGTGCCCCATTGTGGTTTACAGATGACCCCAAATTCTTGAAGAGTGTGCCAAGGGCACACAAGTTTTGTAGGCTTCAAGTATATGCCTGGCAATGAACTGGGTGTCCATCATCTGAGGAGCAGCCTAGCTAAGTGCAGAGAGGCTCCTGGCCAGAAAAGCTGATGAATTTTTCTTAGCCCTGCTGCTCAGAGGGTTGCAATCAGAATCACTGGGAAGATCTTCTGCCAATTTTAAATCAGTGGGTCTTTGATATATTGAAATAAGTGCACGTGTTGCCTTCCATGACTATGTCAGGAGCTCCATGAGTGTATGGACTGTCTTCATCCTTGATCCAGTGCCTACCACAGGGCTCTACAAATAGGTGCTTAATAAAGTTTTATTGAATTAAATCTAATTGACAACTAATGTATGCAAGGCCTTGCCCTAGGCACTATGGGAGATACAGATACATATGTAACAAAGGTCTTGCCCTCAAGGAGATTATAGTCTACTTGGGGAGAAAAGACCATAAACTTAATAACTGTGTGCCTTGGACTTAATCTCTCTGACCTTCAGCTTCCTCTTCTCTAAAATAGGGATAATAATACTTTCCCTGGTGCCTCATAGGATTGTTGTGAGGATGTAATGAGATCATGAGTATAAAGTGCTTTGTAAAGAAGAGTGCTATATATTCTGTGAAAAGTAAATATAAATAACAGTTTGAGATACTAATAAAGATGTTATAAGGCAATACAAAAGGATGGCTCAATTAATAATACAGATGGCAAATGATGGAAAAGTAGACAGAGGGGAAAGAAGAGGTAAATGGGACCTAGAGTAGTCTAGGAAGGCTTTGTGGAAGAGAGTTGACTTACCTGTGTTTTGAAGGTTAGCAAAGATTTGTATAGCTAGAAAAAAGAAAAATATACTCTTAGAGGGGGCAGTGAAATATGCAGAATCAAAGAGAAAGGAAAACAGAACACCTGTGTAAGAAAAACTTCAAAATTATAGAATGTCAGAGCAGGAACCTTAGAACATAGAATGTCGGAGCTAGAGGAGATCATAGAGCACAGACTTTGGGGCCGGGGAGGGACTGTAGAACCTTAGAACGGAGAATGTCAGACCTGGACAGGACCTTAGAACACAGAATTCCAGAGCTGGAAGGGATCTTGGAACATAGAATATCAGAGCTGCAAGGGGCCTTAGAAAACCAAATGTCAGAGCTGGAAAGAACTTTGGAATATAGAATGTTGGAATTGACTTAGAACGTAAGAATATTAGCATTGGAAGGGACCTTGGAACATAGAATGTTAAAACTAGAAAGAACCTTGAAACAGAATTTCAGAGCTAGAAGTTGTCCCTGCCCATGAGAAGCGATGGTCCAAGTGCTACTAGTGATTAAGATGATATTTTCCAAGTTCTGATTGAGAAAATAAATTGGAGGTCATGCAGAGTCAAAACAGAGATCGTAGAATAACCAAATCTAAGATCCAAGCACATATTAGGAGTTTATAACAGCAACTCTAAAAAATGAAACAACCCAGAAAAACGGGGGGGGTGTCATTAAAGTAATGGCTTGTCTCAGGAAGCTGCTGTAACCTAGTGTTTTAACCAAATCATTGATAAAAATAAATAAATAGCATAAACAAGCACAGATCCCTAGAACACTCCCACTAGACATCTGCATTAAAATGTAATTAACGTTTTCATCAATAACTTGGATGAGCCTCAGGCTTAGCACTTCGGTGGAATGGATGACATGCTCATCAAATTTGCAAATAACACGAAGCTGGGAATGATAATATTGAATGACAATTCTGAATCTGAAAGATCATTGAACCAACCTAATAAGAAGAAATCATGGAATTATGGAAAGATGTATTAGGAATAAAGATAAAGATGTATACTTCAATTCAAAATACCAATTTTACAAGTTCAAGATGGGGGAGCTATGGCTGGGTAGAAATGCATCTGAAAAAAGATATGGAGGTTTCTATGAATTGCACTCAGTATGAGTCAATAGTGACATATAGCATATATCTGATATGGTATAGGATAAATATATGGCATATAGCTAATATGATCTTGAACTGAATTAATAGAGACAGTGTAGAGTATAAAGGAGTTGATTATTCCATAGCATTCTGCACTGATTGGACCCCATATGGAATTAGTATATTCAGTTCTGGATATGACATTTTAGGAAAGCAGAATGGTTTTTTTTTTTTTTGAAAAATGGCCCTCAATAGGGGCAGCTAGGTGGTGCAGTGGATAGAGCACTGGCCCTGAAGTCAAGAGGACCTGAGTTCAAATCTGGCCTCAGGCCAAACACTTGACACTTACTAGCTATGTGACCCTGGGCAAGTCACTTAACCCCAATTGCCTAAATAAATAAATAAATAAATAATAAAAGATGGACCTCAAGATCATGCCATACAAGGATCAGTTGAAGCAACTGGAAATGTTTCCTTTGGAAAAAATAAGAGATCAGGCTCGTGTATTTGGAAAGTTTGTCATGTGAAAGAGAAGCTAGACATGTTCTGCTTGGCTCCAGAGGACAGAAGTAAAGATTAGACAAAGAGGAGAGCAGTGGTGATTGGTGACTGCCTGCCGAAGGGAACTGAGGCAGTTGTTTGTCAACCCAATAGCACTAGAGAGGCCTGATGTCTTCCTAGAGCATGTATCCAAGAGATGAAAGAGAATTTGTCAAAAATAGCTACTCCCCACTTCTGGTAATTCATGTGGGTACAAACGGTACTGCCAGAAGAAATTTAAAAAGAATTGCCAAAAATTTATGTAGTCTTGGGCAAGAAACCGAAGACCTTAGGGGCACAAGTTGTGGTTTCATCACTGCTATCCACTAAAGGCAGAAGACAGAGAAAAGAAAAACTAATCTGGGAGGTGAGCAGCTGGTTAAGAAGACAGTGTCTGAGAATAGGATTTGTGTTTCTGAAACCTGGCCTAAAATACAGGAATGCAGATTCATAGTCAGGATGGAATATGCCTACAAAAGCATGTAAGAATGTGTCTGCTTTATGTCTTGCAAATCTAATCAAAGGCACTTTAAACTAAAGAGGACAGGAGAAGACGCTATATATAACCACCAAGTTAGATACCATGGAAAGAAGCTGCAATGAAGGAAAAGTAGCTGTTGAGATATAAGAAGCTCATAAGAAACAAAACCTAAAAAAATAGCCAGTAGTAAAACCCATGGCCTCAAAAGTTTATATTCAAAAGCGTAGATTTTAGGGAACAAGAGATGAACTAGAGGCCCTAACATGAGGAGATAAATTTGATATCATATATATCACTGAGATTTGGTAAAATGAAACCCATACCTACAATTTGTCTCATAGGTACATACTCTATTTAAGAAGAATTGGATAAGTAAAAGTAGAGATACGGTGGGGTTAGCATTATATCTTAAGAGGAAATCCAGAACTAGAGTCTAGGGAACCATGGCTGAGACCATTTGAGTAAAGATCCTTGGAGGAAGAAACACATGTTTATATCATGGGAATATGCTACAGACCACTTGGACAGAAAGAGGAAACAGACGAGGAGTTCAGGAAAAAGAGCATAAGTGTGGCATAGAGGCATAAAACAGTAGTAGTGGAGATTTTAATAGTCCAGACACCTACTGACGTCTCTCTCCCTTCCTCCCTCTCCTCTCTCTCTCTCTTTCTCTTTGTCTGTCTGTCTGTCTCTCTGCCAAACTCAAAGGAGTTAGTAAGTTCTTGACTGGTTTTAATGGTAATTTCATCCTTTAAAAGGCAAAGGAACCAACAATTGTGGATATGATTATCACCAGTAGAAAAGGACTGGTTGCAGGGGTGGAAATGATGGAAATCCTGCAAAGTAACTCTTCTCCCTTAAAGTCTGTGATTTGAAATGAGTCAAAGAAAGGATAGGCAGGATACCACGAATTAAAATTGTACATTGATAGCCCAGGAAATTGGGAAACTGTCAAGAATTAAATTATAAAGACTCAAAGCAAAAAAAACTAGGATGATAAAATAATCAATATGCACTTATTAAACACCTACTGTTTGCCAGGCACTATGCTAGGTATCAGGGATGCAAAAGTTGGGCAGTCCCTGCCCTCAAGAAGCTTACTTTCTTCTAGGAGGCTACGGTATAGATAAATAAACACAAGATATATATAACATAAATGCACAATTATTTCATAGGGGGAGGATACCAACAATTCTAGGATCCAGGAAAGACCTCTTGAAGGAGCTAGTACTTGAGTTGAGCTTTGAAGGGAGCTAGGGTTTCCAAGAGGCAAGAGGTGAGAGGGAAGATTATTTTAGTCTGGGTAAAGGTAGAGAGGCAAGAACTGGAATGTCCTATATGGGGCATATGGTAAGAGAAACTGTAGTTGTTTGAAGAGGCCTATGTGAACATATGGAAAGCTTGCCAACTAATTTAGATGTTTAAAATATAAATATAGAAGATAGAAGAAACAGATGAACATGAAAGTGTCCTTGTCCTATTAGAATAGTGCCAGGAGTGCTAATGCTCAGAAAGAAGTGGAGGATGGGAAGGAAAGGACGACCAAAAAAAAATATCCTTTTGAATCTACCTTGGGGAAAAGCAGAAGACAAGAGAAGGAATGGGGCCACTGCTTGAGGCGAAGGGGTGATGATAACTCACAACAGAGACAAGAGCTGCTCCA